AAAAGTTCGAAATCATAAATTTAAGGATTAATAAATTGTAATATTAATGCTAGGTTGCAAATAGCAAATATTCTTTATATAATTCAATAGGTTTTATTGCTGCATAATGTGTATACAACTGCTGAATATTTAATTACCAAACCACAACCACCTTTCAATCAATTACAAAAATGTTCCAAAATTTGCCAATGTGGTGAATATCAGTGTAAAGTGAATAAGTATTGTATATCAGTGAAGAATGTTTGTGATGGAATTTCCCATTGCTTATATGGAGATGATGAAGTTGGATGAGGTAAATTGTTAGTAGAGAGACAGAAAAGCTCTTTAAATTTAAATTGTTTGCCCAGATCCTTTGTTGAGATCCAATGTTCTGTTTCTTTCTGTTTCTCTCTCTCTCTCACAATAATCTACATACCAATCTTCTGCATTTATTAGATAATTTCCTCCCTAAAGGATTTTTCAAATGTAAAACTAGAGGAAAACAGTTTGTAAAAATGTCTCAAGTTTGTGATGGAATTTACAATTGCAAAGATGGCAGCAATGAAATAACTTGTGAAATATTTATCTGTCCAAAAGTGAAAGGAAGAGAAGAATGTTTGTGCGAATATTCAAATAAAATTGAATAGAATATTCAATATAGAATAATGGAAATTTAGAACATTTAAAATATTTCAAAATAATTGAATTATTTAATATATCATATTTTGGAAAAGATGATAATCCAATGTCATTCTATCATCATACTTCTTTTCTTAGTTTTTAAAATACAAGAGATTTTTCAACGGTTGAAAATTTCTTGTCAAACTTTAAAAATATAGTAATTTTAGATTTAAGTTGTAATTTTCTTGTTGAATTTTCAAGTTTGAAAATTGAAAATAAACTAATTTTACAAATATTAAATTTGAGTAGAAATGAAATAGAAAAACTATCAAATTCAATGTTTAAAGATTTTCAACATTTATTAATATTATATCTATCATTTAACAAATTTAAAAATATTCCTTCTAGAGCTTTTGATGGTCTTATAAAATTAAGAGAATTGTTCATAAAGATGACAAACAGTTTTATAAAAAATATCACCAGATACATTATAACGTTTGAAAAAGTTGACTATTCTATCAATAAATCTTCATTTCTCTCATCAAACTTTTTATTTTAAATCATCAAATTTAATTGAAAAAGCTAATCTATCATTTTTTAAATTCTGCTGCTATTTAAAGAGATTTTCACCATCAAATTTTTCATGTAATTTTGAAATGAGAATATTATTTCACTGTTTAAAAATATTTCCATCAAATTTACTTTATTTTTCAACAATTTCACTTGTCATTTTATCAATCATTCATCTCTTTTTGGAATTGATTTTTTTGATTAAATTCACATTTGGATTATCAATTATGTTTATTACAAGAAAACTCAATGATTATTTTATATTAACATTTCTAATTTCAAATATCCTTTATAATTTTATCATTTCTGAAAAATTAACACAAATCAATGAAGATAGCTTATGCTCTCTTTCAAATCTTCTCTTTGTTATATTCATTCAAAATTCTATCTTGAATATTTTTATCACTGAATTAAGAAACAGTTTTAAAATCTTTAATAAATTTTCTATTTAAATTTCATTTTGGGAATTTGTCTATTGCTTATCATTCATTGTATCAGGCCTAGTTGGTTTTCTAATTATTTTTTCAAAGGTAGGTGATTTTTTTAATTTGAAAAAGAAACAAAAAACTACAATTTTTTGATAAAAACTAAAAGAAATTGAAAAAATTCAATACCTGTTCAATTCTCTTGTTAAATCAAGTGACAAATACTTCAATAAAGGCAATTTTTTATGTTTATGTTCCAATTATTTCAATTTTTTCAATTATTCCATACATTGTTAATTTCGTTAAAAGAGGATCACATTATTGGACGTATTGTCTCCATACTCATATTAGAACAATTTTAACCTTTATCCCTATTTTGTGTAAATTAAATAAATTTTCAAAAACTCTCTTTCTTTTAATTTGAAAATTTGTTAGGGCTAAGCCTAGAATCTTCATCCTATAATATTAGGCTAATGAGTGAATGGTGGATGTTACTATTATTACCACTGGTCTCTTACTCTTTTCCATTTTATTTTACATTCCTGACTGTACTTGCAAGAATGAAAAAGAAGGATGAAAATGAAAGGTAGATACCTTTATATATATAAATGATGTAGGTGTGATTCAACTTTGTGTTTGTCCATCTGTCTGTTTATGTAGATGTCTGTTTGTCTTTCTCTTTCTCTCATTCTCTCACTCTCTCACACCCTCCCTCCCCCTTTCTCCTACTTTCTCTCTCTCTCTCTCTCTTGCTCAAAGAGTTTAATATTAATAAAAATTTAACTATATTCTTTTGTTAGGAATATCTTTAAAAAAGAATTTTTTGATCAGAGTGTCTATCCAGGTAATTAAGTAAAGTTATAATTTAATAGGTACATCTCTTTTTTGTGTGCTCCACCCTCTCTCCCACCATTCAGTCAGTCTTTTAAATATTTAACTAACACACTTTTACCTCCAGCTATACTCTTTCTTGAACATTTTCAATCTAATGTTTTTCACACCACCAACAAGAAAACTGTTCATTCAATGATATGCACTGTGCGAATCTATGTTAATTTCATTCACTCTCTACACAAGTTTAATTGCTTTTATAAAGGAAATCTTGATAGAAACTCCGTATTGAAAATGGTAAGGATTGGCTTAGATATAGATATAACAGATACAAGTATTTTCCACCTTTTCAGAGTAGAGAAATGATTGTTGATCATTTAGCAATAATAAACAATGAATTTGAGCCTAAATGAAATGTTAAAGATATTGGTTGCCTACTAAAAAAACAACTGCAATCCTATCATATTCAAACATATAATACAAAACAGGATTGAGTCAAATAACTATGAATGTTTTTTTTTTTGTTTAAAATAATAATTAATAAAAACATAAAAAAAGCAATTTTTTTAAAAGTTTGAAAAAATTACAAAATTAAATTTAATTTATTTGTGACAAAATTAATCATCATTTAAATACAAGCAAAAAAAAAAAGCAATTATTAAACAAAATATTCTTCACCTATTCACTCACTCACTCAATCACTTAATGAAAAATATCAACAATTTCATTATCATCTCTCTAATAATTTTGCATCATATTTTTAGAGTAGTTTCCAAATGTAATACAATGACAATTGCAAAGAAAGTGAAAATACAGGATATTGAATTTAAATTTAGCAAAGATCATTCAACATGCACAAAAGCATTTTGTCAAGGAATAGTTAAAGGAATAATAGAGAAGATTGGACAAAATTATAATATTGTTTTAGGCAGAAATCGTTTGGTTAGCCCATCAGCTCGCTTTATTTGTTCAAGTATGGGATACGACAATTTAAGAGTTAGTGTTTACACTTGCAAAGGTAAAATATAACAAAAGGTCATCATCATCATCTTATCTAATCATTAACTTTTTTCATTCATTTCAGCAAGAGACTCTGCATTATTGTTTAAATGTCATTCAATGAAGATAGCTGATTGTGATATATATTGCAGCAGACTGACAAACATTTGTATAAAGTGTTTTAAAAAGGATGTTCCATGTAGAGAATAATTCAGAATTTTTTCAAGCCTAACACCCTAATTGATTTCCTTTTACTGTATTTTTTAGATTTCTTTACTCTTAACTCATACAAGACAAATAATATAACAATAATCTATAAAAGAATTTCAAATGAAGCAAAGGCCTATTGCTATTACACAAACTATACTCATCAATGTTCTAATATCTACTTTTATACTGGGTTGGCTAATACAGCTGGAATTGCCACTATCAATCCTGCTCTACAGTTTAATTCATCCATTCAATCTTGTAGCAATGATTTCTGTGAGAAAAGTAAATTTCAAACAGGGGATATTGTGTGGAAAAATAATGTCAATAATTCAAAATTTCAAAATAAACCTTCTAAATATCTAACTATTCCATTTTATGTTACAACTACTTTACAACTTTCTCCATTACTTTTTAATTTGCAATCTCTTCATCATAAAGACTTTTTACTTTCTCAATTATGTAAAGATTATTCAATGAAATTAATAAAAAATGAATTTTTCCAACATTGGCATGAAATCTATACACAAAAAGTTGTTAAAGTATACCAATGCATTTTAAATGAAGAAAGCAGCTATTGTAAAATTATAAATAAAAAATACTCTATAACATATTATGCTATAAAGTTAGCATGTGAAAAAGTAGACCTAATAGAACCAAAAAATTTTGGTCATTTCCTAAAAACTGGTACATATAATATAATAAAAAAAACAATAAAACAAACTTTCTATGAATTTTTCTTCAAAGGTTTAGCCTTAAAGTTTAACAACAATGATAATAAATTAAGAGTTTCCTACAACAACTCCACATTTAGCGTATCAATTTTTGGTTTCACAAAATCAACAACTGATTTAGTTTGTCAGTATTTTGGCTATTCAAGTGGTCAGATTATGACAATTGAACGGGATGTTGACAATCAATGTCTGTTTATGTTGAATTGTAATCAGTCAAAAAAATTGGAAGAATGTATTGTCACTAATTTTGGAGAAAACTGGTTAAATGTGGAAAAAAATTCTGCTGTTCAATTGAAATGTTTCCAACAGAGTGTTTCATGCCAAAATACTGATATAAGTAGCATTGGTCACGTGTTTACCTTTCAAAGGAGTTGCTACTATTATTTTCAATTTGGTCAAATGTTAAATTACGAAAATTCTGTAAAATTTTGCAAGAAACGCGGATTGAGGCTAGTTGGAGTAAGCACAAGAGATGAAGCAAGATTTCTAATGTCTATGCATTTGACAAATCAACTTTTCAAAAAGAATACTCAACAATCTAACCCGTTTTCTATCCTTTTAAAACAATCATCACCAGCAAAAACAAAATTTCCATTTGGTGAGTAATAAATATGTAGCGAGAAAATTTTCGCAAAATGAAAACTGGTATAGGTGCAAAATATAACTGGAAGAAGAAAAGTTTCTATAATAGCGATAATATCTCTTTGGATTTAATTGGAATGTGGGGATTTGAATATGATATAGATTTGTTTGTTTTTTTGTTTGCTTTTTTTTGCTGTTTGTTCACTTTATTACTGGTTTGTAACAGCTGTGAGTACACAGGATTTGAACCAAAACATCACTTGGAATATAAGTTTTGCGGATACATTGCCAAGTATAATACTTTTAATCAATTTGCTTTCCATTCATGCCTTACTGAGCAAATGCTATTTGACAAAATTATATGTGAAAGTGAAATTAGTCAGTATGCTTTTCCTTTTTCTCTTTCTTTTATTATCATCATTATCATCATTGTTACAATCATTTTTTAATAGAACATCTTCCAAGCATACGTTTTTCAATTGTAAAAGTATTTAGAAAAGCTTGTCAACAGGGATTTTTTCAATGCAAAATCAATAGATATTGCATATCTAATATTTATCTTTGCGATGGAGTTTACGATTGTTTTGATAAATCTGATGAGACAAATTGCTCTTCACCTATGAATAATTTATATTTTAAATGTGATAATGGAACAAAATTATTGAATTATGTTCTAATTTGTGATAAATTTAATGACTGTAAAGATAAATCTGATGAAAAAAATTGCTGTAAGTAAAATTTCAAATGTATCTCTTCATTCCTTTTCATACATTTTCTCTTTTTAAAGTTTCTAAACCATGTAATACTGGTGGTGATGGTGGTGATGTTGATAGTAAGTTACCAAAAGAGTAAGTAGAATTCCTTCCATACAAGAAGAAACATTGATATATCTTTAAAAAAAAAATAAAAACTGCAAAGATTTCAATGCAAAGATGGACAATGTATCACAAAGGAGGATATGTGCAACATTGTCAGAGATTGTCCAGATAATTCTGACGAAGAGAATTGCTCAAAAAGTGTTTTTTTTTATATAGAAACAGTAAGGTAAATGACTATGGGAAAATTTTTTAGATAAATATTGTGATAATAATTCCCATTCATTAAATCATTTCCTTTCATTATAAGTTGAAAAAATTAACTTAAAATCTTCTCATTGACATTTTTACCTTACTAGATTTTTTTCCCCTGTTTTTTTTTAAAAAAAAAATTTCTTTTTAGAGAATTTACTTAGATCTGGAAATTTATTATCTCACTGTGAAACTGATAAATTATTATTTTTCTATGAGTTGTGTAATAAGAGGAGAGATTGTCCAAGTGGAATTGATGAATCACCTTTAATGACTTGTGCGAGTAAGTTTAAATAGTTTGAATTGACAGAAAAACAATAAAGATTTCTGAGTATCAGAAAATTATTGTTAGAAAGTTTTCTGTTCAATCAAAGTTAAGGATAGAAAGTTTTATTAATTTTACTATTCTCAAAATGTTCATCTATCCAAATTCAAGATGAAGAATTTACTACTTTAAACTATAAATGTAACAAAGGACAAATTAGTATTAAGTGGAAGCCATCTGCAATTTCACAACCAAATTCTTACAGTAAATTTTTAAAAATTTTAAATTAAAAAAAAAAATTACTTTAAATTGCCTCTTTTTTTGCTTCCTCTCTCTCTCTCTCTCTTCATCTCCTTAGATACAATGGAAAATATAGTTTTCTATACAGAATCAAGTATATTTAAATTTAAAAGATATCTATAGAAAACTGTTTCTATAACTAAATGATTCACACAGGCAACTGTATCATAAGTGAAAAAGTAATCTTCTCATATGGCATATGGACCCATCCACCATATAACGATCTGCAATTCTGCAAAAAACCTTGTCCAACTGGAATGTATCAGTGTAATAGTTATCGACATTGTGTATCATCAGAAAAAGTTTGTGATGGTGAATACGACTGCTACCTTAAAGATGATGAAGAGAACTGCAGTCTGTTCCATTTAGGATGATTGACTGATTGTTTGCTTATTGATACTTTGTCTTTTACTCAAATACAGACACACACATTATACCTTACATGTACAAATGTAGATTCTCTATGAAATTTCTAAACTTTGAGAAAGTTTGCAACAAGAATGAAGTTTGTACGAATTTTGACATTTGTCCATATATTCAATGCACCATTGGCGATGATGAGATGAGTGAAGTATGTAATAATTTCACATGCCCTATTGGTTGCCAATGTTTATCATCCATACAACTATATTGTAAAGGAAGTATCAAATTTGACAAGAGAATTGAATATAGCTTTAAAACTATCTATCTAGAGGATGTGAACAATATTTCAATAGTACTTGGCTATCTAAACAATCAAAATGGTGTGAAACCTTCCAGTTTGGTAATTCAAAATTGTCGAGGCTTTGGTGAAAAGATATTTATTCCATTTGAAAATTTAAAATATTTAAATTTAACACAAAATACTATTAAAATGTTAGACAGTAGCACATTTGCCCAGATTCAATTTCTTGAAATTCTAATACTCCATAGAAATAATATTCACACAATTGAATCATCTACATTCAAACATTTAAAATTTTTAGTCCATCTAGAGATTTCTAATCTAAATTTTGTCAATTTATCAAAACACTGGTTCCATTCCTCAAACAATTTACAATTTTTACATATAAAATCTTCAAAAATTCACAGAATAGCAAAAGGAATACTTGATAATTTTGTAAAATTGATTGAATTGAATCTACTCAAAACTTATCTTGTTGATGGAAAGCAAATTAGAAATTTTCAATTTGAAAAAATGAAAAATATTCAAATTTTAAAAAGTGAATATTTTACATTGTGTTGTTTTGTAAAGAAGATAAAAAAATTGGTTGAATGCTTACCAAAGCAGAATGATTTAAATTCTTGCCAAAATCTTTTGGGTTCAAATATTCAAAAAAGTAAAAATTTTTTTTTTCAAATTTAAATTAATTACTCAATCAATAAAAATAATATTTTCTTTCTAGTTGCATTATATTTCATTTCATTTTTTGGAATAGTTGGTAACATTATGGCGGCCATTTTGAAATTAAAAAGCATTTCAAAACCCCACCAATTATTGGATTTGTCATTAGTCTTTTCAGATTTTAGTTTTATATTGTATTTATCTTGCATTTGTGTATATGACATAATATTTTCCGGAAGTTACATAGACTACGACTATGAATGGCGGCATAGTCATACTTGTAAATTTCTCAACATTCTAGCATCAATGTCATGCCTTTCATCCAATTGTTTTATGGTAGTAATCTGTAGGCAGAAATCTTGGGCTTTGAAACTTAGCAGCATGAAAATTCAATTAACATATAAAAAAGTAGGCCTAGTAATCATCTTGATAGTAAGTACTTCTGTTATACTGGCTACTGTTCCATTGATTGCTTATAATGTGAGTAAAGATAGAGATTTTATCAATGAATCATTCAATCAATTAATCAATCATAATAGAATTTTTCATCAAGATACTCTTTATGCTTTTCATTACATTTAACAAATGAAAAGGCTGATGGTTGGATTTTTTCTCTAATTACTTTTTCAGTTATTCCAATTCTTCTCAATTTTTTAACATTATTTTTTTATGTGAAAATCTTTAAGATTGTAATCAACTCTTCTTCAGTTTTATCAAAAGATCTCTACATGGAACGTCTAATGTCAACATTAAAGAAATCATTAATAATTATTTTTACAAATATTGTCACTTGGCTACCTCTGTGTTTGTTAGGTGAACATTTTAACATCTGCAGACTAACAAATTCTTAAATTCTGATAAAAATGTTTGTCATTTGTCAAGGTGTCTTTGCTGCATTTGGAAAAAGTAACCTTACTTTTGAAACATACAATTGGATATTTATTTTTATCCTACCACTTAATTCATTTTTAAATCCATATGTTCATAATTACTGGTATTTGAATTTTAATCTATCATTTGCCAAAAGAGATAACAGGTATGAGAGAGAGAGAGAGAGATTTTCCTTTCTTTTCATTTTAATAATCTATATATGTGTTAAATCATCCAGAGTTACATTTTTTAAATATATACAAACTGAGTACTTTTTAGGAAGTATAAACTTTATAATAAAATAACATTTGACAAACTTAAATAATCTTACTTTTTTACACAGAATTAAACTTGTTGGTTCATGGAAAAGATCATGGTCTAGTTTTTACTAAATTTCAAGATATTCATTCAATGAATATTTCCAAAATCCACATTGACAATGTAGTTTGTCTATTCAAATCTTTCAAACAATTAACAAAAAGGCTAGAATGTCTTCATCAATTTGATTTTGATATTCGAAATTTAACGAACAATATGGTGTTTTTTCAGAAAAACAACTATCTTATTCTATTAATAGAGAAAGATAATTTAATTTATAATCAAACTAATTTACCTTTTGAAACGATGAAAAATTTTGGATTTCTTCTCAAAAGCTATGTTCAAAAATTTTTTTAAGTAAAAAACACTTCAAAACAATTTATTTATGTCAGCTGTTGTGTTCTATTTTTATTGTTTAAACAATGTTTTGATTATTGTAACGTTGATGTGACTTTTGTTGATTTAATAGATACACTGTAATAAAGCTAAAGTTAAGCAAGTGAATAGCAGAGTAGATGGTTAGTAATAGTAGGTTGCCAAATTACCAAACTAGTGTCCAATGTTGAAGGAGTAGAAGGCTTGTCCTAGTGGATGATGATTCCAGTTAGTTAAGGTTGATCCTCTCAAATTGAAGTTAGATGGTTGGAATGAAACAGTGAGGGTTTATAATACTTAAAGGTTTGTCCAGTAGTTAGGTTTGCAAAATTTAAATTGATATAACAATTTTAATGTTTATAGGTAGTTAAAGACAGACTAATACTGTTCTATAATGGGGGCTGTTGAAAATACCTATTCTGGAATTTTTTTGGGTTGGGAATGGGTTAGGAAAAATAATCAAGCAATTCATTTGTAATTAAGTGGGTCCAAACTAAGTGTTAGCAACAATAAAGTGCTTGAAACAGTTTCCAGGGCTCAGTTAGGGTTAGGGTAAAACCACAAAACTGTGGGTATTTTCAAAAAGACTGGGTAGTTGCCTAAACCCCAGCAAAATGCTATTGTTAAGCATTCAATAATAAGAGAAAATAAATTTTGATTAGAAATAACAACTTTATGTTGAGAGGATTGAGCAATGTATATTCCCTTGACAAAATGTCCTGTGACAAAAATCCCCTGGACAGATTGAGTCTTGAGCTGGGGAAGTGAAATAATTTCTTTATTGTACTAAATAATGTTTTTAATCAATTGAAAAATCTACTCCTACCCAAAAAGGAGACTGCATATATCTCACTAGTAAGTTCCAAGTTCATCATCCACCAAATATTTCCTCTCTAAATGTCAAATTTTCATCTATCATCGTTTCATAACAAAAATTCAAACTTTGAAAATAGTTGGAAATAATGGGAATAACCCAAGTTGTTTACAATGCATTTTAGACTGTCTTCTCAATTCATCAAACACTCTCAAGGAAATATATTTTTCTCAACTTTCTTTCTCTGATGGTGATATGGAAAAGATAAAAAATTTGTTGAAAAATTTTTCAAACATAGAAACAATAAGCTTCATTAGTTTAAAATCTATTGAATATTTCATTGGTTGTTCTGGTGTCAATTTTTATCTTTTTCAAGGACTCATTTCTTCAACAGACAGTTTAAAGCATATAACTGCAAAAGGAATGTATTTAGACTTGATATCATATGAAAGTTTGGAAAGTTGCTGAAAGATTGTTCAAAAATAGAAAGTTTTCATCTAGAAGATAATTATGGAGACAAAATAATGGATTTTATTTTTGAAGGACTCATGCATTCATCAAACACTTTAAAGTGCATTAATATATATTTTATTAAATATGAAAATTTTGGAACATTCACAAATTTATTAAAAAATTGCTCCAAGTTAGAAACATTAATCTTAAAAGGGTATAAGATTGAATTTGCTGAACTGAAAAATATGTTTGAAAATCTGGTTCAGTGTTCAAATACTT